AACGACGTTCCATGTGCGAGGTACCTACAAAAAAAATTGTTATTATAATGTAATGAATATCCAGCATTCGCCTTTAACTTACATCAGTGTTATCGCAAGGCGCTCTTCTGGAGAGATTTGTTTCTTGGGTCTTTCCAGAAACGGATTTAGCAACGTTTGCAATAAATCGTACACCGGGCGGTTCATCCTGGTTAAAAGAAAAATCTTGCTGTCGTGGGATTTGCATTTCAAGAACACTTTCCTGAAGTATCCATTCAATTTCCGATCCCTATTTACTGGATGAACCGCCCAGCGCCGTACTCGCCTCGATTCTTGCCGTTTCTGTTGAAGACGGCAAATATTTAAAAATGCCAACTCGAGGAAGTCTTCTTCCATTTGTCCATCAGGCCACATGGTGTATTAATCAAGAAAACACCTGTAGGAGTATGTTTAATTATTATTAAGTGTACTTAATTTGCCAAATTAGTTACTTACTCTTTGAACAACTTTTCCTGTCAGAAAACAAATTAATTAATAAATCGATATTTCGCAAACAGCTGATTTTGAAGTATAATGTGCGATATGCGGAGTATAACCACTCCCCTGTTTCACATGCGCTGCTTGATTATGCCCTGCCTTGCTATGTTAGTATAACCAGCGCTTTAGCGTTGCCAAATTTTGGTTATGTGGACGGCTGCTTTGAAATTCAACGCCAGCGCAACGCCAAAGTTGTATGTGAACCGGCCTCTATTCTTTGTTTACGCAAATACATATCCATACATACATACATATGTCCTTGAACAACAGGCCAAAAATAAATTTTTTCTCCAAGGATTATATTTCATTCAGGTATACAGCATAACTGCTACAAGTAGCAAACTATTTTGGGGTGCTAACAAGTGCTTACTTGTTTTTTGTTTCTGCGGCACAAACGATTATCTATACTATCTTCGTTACTTACTTTTCTCTGTAAAGACAAAATACATGCATACATATGTACATACATACATAAATACATACATACATACATATATAAATATGCATGTTATCTATGTATATAACTCTAAAAAATATCTCATTCCATAACCTGTGCTTACGTATGTAATAAATTTTATTTGTTGTTTTAAAAGCTGCCCTAATATCGAGCCCTAACCGCCAAAATAACGTAAGCGACATTTTTTTTTTAATTTTCTTTTTGATGCAGAAATATTTCTAGAGCATCTAGGTACATTTCTGCATCAAAAATAAAATTTTGAAAAAAATGTCGCTTACGTTATTTTGGCGGTTAGGGCTCGATATAATATTCACATATTTATATGCATATGTACATCAACTAAGAATTTAGAGCAAACGATTGTATGCATACATGTAGATATGTATATACATCCATGTATACATATATGTATGTATTTATTTATGTATATATTTTCATGCACAGAAGAATAGATGCGTGCTATTTTTGCCAGTTTTATCTACTATGTAGGCTCATATGTGCATACATATCTATGTAGGTATAATGTTTTTAATGTTCAATAATTTCTTATAAAATTTCAACTTATACACTTAGGTCTCTTTTTATGCGGTTCTTTTTTATGCGGATTTGAATTTATGCGGGGTTTCAAACACTTTTCGCTGTAGCGATTTTGCTTTTTTGAGAGCTTTTATTACTTTTTTTCAATATGCAAGGGGCAATGCTTCTGATAAATAATTTGTTGTTGTATTCTTACATACAAGTAATTACTAAGTAATTTGATTAAGTAACTATGTTACATATGTATAAATGAGAACATAATATTTATAAAAATCATTATTTTGTCTTTCATTTCATAAATAAGTAGGACATCAGCATTTTCAAATGAATATTCCTGGTTTAGCCCCATACATATGTAGGATAATACAAACTACTATTTGATAATTAAGGCTGGTCCACATAGAACTTTCGCGTTGACTTTGTACTCATGTAGCACACTGGTGTATAATTTGGTGTAAACTTGCGAATTTTGGTATAAATCCGATTAATTGTACCAAAATTCACAAATTTAGACCAAGTTATACACCAGTGTGCTACTTGAGTAGTTGGCGTTGGTTTGACAGAACGCACGTTAAAAGTATGCGTTCTACAATGAAGCTTGGCAGAGACTACTTTGGCCACTAAATTAACATATTAACGAGAAATAAATTAATATTTCATATCAATAATAGCATGAAAAATATATTTCTTGCCTTCATTTGATTAAAAGGAAAAAACATTTCATTTAATTTTATTTATTTGCAACAGCTGGTGACCGACGCAGCGATCTTTCTGCTTTGTGTTGGCCTTAGCGTTGCCAAATTTTGGATATGTGGACGGCTGCTTTGAAATTCGACGCCAACGCAACGCCAAAGTTGTATGCGAACCAGAGAACAGCTTTGAGTATGATCGAGCCTTTTTGATCACACTCACTAAAAATCAAGCACAAGCGAACGCCACACTCGGCTACTATGTGTTCGATCGAGATGCATACCCGACAGCTGCTTTGGTTACGAACGAGTCTGTTCGATTACCCTCGCTATAAATTGAGCACAAGCGAACACCACACTCGGACACCCGCAGCTAACCCGAAAATTTGTGTAACAATGAAACGGACACCCGAACATTGCGATAAAATGCAGGACAACAAAGGAATTTACGCTGAAGGTAACTGGCGCCAATATGTTCCCACAAAGCATACGAAAATGTTGTTGCTTTGTGCTTGTGCATACGCAATGAAAAAATTAGAAGCGAAGTAGACAAAAATGTTTTTGCATCTATTTAGTATAGTTTCGCGTGGAAAGCTGTGTGAGTATATACTAGAACACACAGCCTAAACTATGTACATCTACATAGTACATAAGTACTTTTACAAAAAATAAATGTGCACCGAGTGTTTAGGGCTTGGGCAATGCCGATCTACACACAATTATACCTAAATGGATGTAGGCGTCGCATTTGATGTCGCATTTTGTATGAGCAAAAATATAAGAAATGGTTAAATGTACACTTAAACAAACTACCGAAAAATTCAACGTTCTCTTTGCCCTCTACGCACAAAAACTAAGAACACCGCGATGAGAAGGCAACATTTTTTGTAGAAACAAAAACGTCATAAGCCAATCAAGAAAATTTTGTGCACACTCGGGTTGAAACTCGAACACCCGGGTATATTGAGCTGCAAAGCACCCGAACCCAATCAAGTATGTATGAAAAGCAATCGGGTGTTGTGGCCTCTTGAGCTCAGTCGATAACGAACAATACTTCTGCTCGTATACAGAGAACGATGCAAAACGGGTTTTGTTAGATGATCGAGTATACACGAAAATCATGCACCCGCTGCAGATGTCTGATGCGAACCGGTCTCTATTCTTTGTTTACGCAAATTTTCCCATGCCTACATATCCATATATATGTACATGCATACATATGTACACATGTCCTTGAACAACAGGCCACAAATAAATTTTTTCACCAAGGACTATATGTCATTCAGGTATACAGCATAACTGCTACAAGTAGAAAACTATTTTGGGGGTGTTAGCAAGTGCTTACTTGTTTTTTGTTTCTGCGGCACAAACGATTATAATATCTTCGTTACTTACTTTTCTCTGTAAAGACAAAACACATGCATATGTACATACATATATAAATGCATATATACATAAATACGTACATACAAACATATATAAATATGCATGTTATGTGTGTACACATGTATGAATATAACTCTAAAAAATAATTCATTCCATAATCTATGCTTATGTATGTAATCAATTATATTTAGTGTTTTATATGCTGCCCTAATATAATACTTTACATATATGTATGCATATGTACATACAATTATTAACATACTTTCGTACATAATCTATTGACATACATTCCCACATTTTTATGCACAAAAATGCATGTGTTGTATAGTACACTCGGAGTGCTCGCTCGTCGCTCACTCGTCTTTCCTAGCAGAGTGAGTATGCAGACAGCTACTCGCCTCGCACTGCGAGCGAGGCAACACCCAACAGCCTCGCTCATTTAATAGGAGCGCGAGAAAACAAGCAGCGCTCGCTCGTTTGGCGAGCGAGCCAAACTTCTCGTGCCTCGCCTCATTGCTGCTACGAGTACGAGCTGCGAGTGCCTCGTTGTCTGCGAGGCATTGAGTAGGAGTTTGCTCACTCGCTCGCTCGAACTCCGAGTTTTTGCCCACCCTGATATCTGGCCACCCTAGCACTGACTCGCTACATTCGAAGGCACCCCGGATTTCGGTTGACAGTTGATACAGGGTTGTGTCCGTGGACTTTCCAGCCCTGTATGCGTGCTGAGGGGTGTACTCTCCAAAGTCTGAGATGTGCATTGAAACAGCAGCAAGCTTACATTAAAATATCCTTTAAAACACATAACATGGGTATTCATTTAAACGCATAAACGCTTTGCAAACGCGTAAAACTCGTAAGTAAACCGATTTTCCAAACATTAATTTATTTATTTTTCGAGGTTTAGATGAATTATCCCACTATTTAATTTTAAAGGTGTATTCTAATCGAAATAAAATTTGTTTTCAAATCCTAGTTCGTATTTTATTTTCGAATATAATGTTATGTGAAATATTATACATAAAAACAGAAGCTATATTACTCTAAAACAGTCTGCGGAATTACTAAAAATAATGCTTTCAGGAAAAAGGGAAGTACTAATGGCAAACGGCAATGGCATAAAATAGTAATCGTACATTTAGCTACTGTATGAACAAAAATTTTCGATTTAGTTTATTTGTGTATTACAACGAGATAAAAGGTAATAAATAACTACATTATTTGGTTATAATTACCAAATCTTGTGTTGCACTAAATAAATATACATAATTATCTAAAATCTGCTTAAAATTGCGGCAGTTTTCTAAAAACGTTTTTTTTTATTTTAATTTCGCACACTGATAAAAATGCATCAAAAGATAAAGACTGTATGAATTAAAAGTGGCCATGGTAGTATATGTAGACATGTATGTATTTACCAAATCTTCCAGTACGACCGATCCTATGTAAATAGGTCTCACAATCAGCGTTTCCCTTTGCATCCATCGGTAAATCGAAATTTACAACGATTGTAACTTGTTCGATGTCAATTCCTGAGCGATAGATATATAAGTTTTAATATTTATTATTGCTTTTTTATATACGTAAATAGATAATTTTTGACATATAAAATAAATATAAATTTTTGCTTTACATATTACAAAGGCCACGATTTTGAAAGACTGTACTCTCATTTTAGCAGTAGCCATAATGAATTTATATCTTAACATTATTATTTACTGAGATTTTTTGTAATGTAAATTTTATTAAAAATGTTAAAATATAGCAATCAAACAACTTAAAGTTTTACATGAGAATTGAAGTCGGTTTTGTTTTTTGCTAAAAAATTACTTGTTTTTTAAACTAAATATATAAATAGTCTTTAGATGGTCTTCTGCAAATCGATAAATTGTTTCAGTGATGATTTCATGTTTGTGAACGCCAAGCATACCTAAACCTAAATTCAAGTACAAACTAAGTAGAAATAAATGACCGATATGATTGAGTAAAAATCATTATATTATGTTACAATTTATTTTTTGGATAGGAAAAAACCACCAATCAGCTGTTTATAAACATAATTTATCAGACTAACAAAAGTAAGCTGAAAAGGACGTTCACAGTTGATAAAATTATCGAGCTTTTTACCAAAACGACCGAAATGGATGTGAAGACCCCTAAAGTTTTAATTTATTGCAACAATTTTTTGAATTGGAAATTGATTATTAAGTCATAGAAAGAAACTTACAATGAAACTTTGGAATTTGCGCCACCCCAGCCAGTACCTGCATACGCCCATGGGCTAAATTCTACAGAATTCTAAATATTTTCAAATATTCAAGCCATTGAGTAGTTATTTTCATCGGAGTTTTCCACATACATAATTATAGTATGTGTATGAAATTATTTCAATAGGATAGGTGTTCGTACTAGCACAATTTGAAGATACTACGTATCTTCTCTTTAAGGATCCCATTTGTTATACTCAAATCAACTAACTACAACTTATTTTAAAGCTTACTCACCGATAAGCATTTTTATTACCGGGGCGTACGATTCAAATGAGAAGAAGCAACCTTTGCCTTGAACTGTAAAGTCTTAACACCATTCTGGCATATGTAGTGACTTTGCCGATTATAAATATCTAAAATTTAAAAATCTACCACACATGGGCAGGATTTTTTCTATTTGGTACACCCAGTAAAAGGTTTAGTTATAGTTACCAAAATTTTGTTAGTGGCCAAGTAGCTTAGTTGGATACGGCGAAGTAAATATCTAGTTCGCGAAAGTCTGCAATTTACTTGAGACTTCTAGTTGGTACAAATGTATATTTGTTAATAATTACAAAAAAGAAAAATCCATCCAGCCTGATTTTGTACGGCAGCTGGAGGAGTCAGTAAAAGAGGTTGCCTCTATCACCACTCTCAGGCCCACCACGACTGTAGAGATCAGGGACCTAGACGCCTTAACTGACAAGAAAGAGGTCGAAGACGCCGTAAGAAAACTGGTCGCCGACAGAGAGGTGGTAAAAGTCACTGCACCAAACACCCGACAGCAAGTCAGAGCGTTCGTAACACTTACCAGCGAGAGTGCGGTAAAACTTCTTCAGGCGAAGAACATCAAAATCGGATGGATCAGTGCTAGGATGACGGCGACCACTAACTTCAAGCTATGTTTCCAGTGTTTCGGCGTAGGACATCTTCGCACGAAGTGTAAGGGACCAGACAGAAGTGGCAAGGGTATCTGCATCCGATGTGGAGAAACAAGACATAAGATGAAGGAATGTACAAACGAACCGAAATGCTGCTTATGTATAGATGCTGAAAGTAACGATATAAAACACATGCCGGGTTCTGGCAGGTTCCCGATGTCTAAACGGAATAACCAAACATGAAGATACTCCAAGCAAACATGCATAGGAGCAAGACAGCAGATGCACTTATAGAGCAACTTATTGTTGAAAAGGAAGTACATGCAGTGATAATCAGTGAACAATAAGACACACAATTCACGATGGTATGGTCGAAGACGAGTCAGGAACTGCCGCCATCTGGCTTCCCTAAAGCAGTAACAATACTTTTGCTAAAAAGGGATCTGGAGACGGTTTTGTATACTTACAAAACAACCTATTTACCATAATGCTGCTACTTAACGCCTAGCGACAACATCGGAGATTGCACTCGGAAACTAGAACTCATCGAAGACAAAGCGCTAGAAATAGGAGACCGTATAATAATGGCAGGAGACTTTAACGCAAAAGCAATAGAATGGGGCTCGTCTACAATGAACTCAAGAGGTAGGCGGATACTGGACATGGCTGTTAGATTAGGACTAGTCGTCGTCACCACAGGCAACTCTGCAACTTTCCTGAGACCAGGATGTACTGGGACCATACCTGACATAACTTTAGCGTCGGAAAGTATAGCCGGATCAATTAAGGAGTGGAAAGTTCTAGAGGATTTCACCAGAAGCGATCATCAATACATCATCTTCAACATTGAATTGGGACACCATCAAGGGTCAGAGAAAAAGAAAACTGGTACACGCAGGTGGAATGTAAAAAAGCTGAAGCCATCGTTGCTCATCGCAAACATTGACGAGAACGCGAGCCGAATCTGCGTCAATAGCGACGCTAGGAAATTAGTAAGGGCAACCATGCGATGCATAACAAAAGGGTGCAATGCTTTAATGCCAAAAATTGACTGTAATTTAAAAAGGAGAGCGGTATACTGGTGGACGGCAGAAATTGCTGAACTCAGGAAGGTCTGTCTACGAAAGCGAAGAATACTCACTCGAGCTAGGCGATTAGGACTGACGCACTAAGGGGTAGTTGAGGCAAAAAAACCGGTCAAAAGTGGTTTTTCTAAAATTCATAAAATGACGCAAACAATGCATGTTTAAATAAGTACGATAACCGGCCTTTGTGTGTAAGGCGTGTCCTTGCTCTCGGCGCTTTTGATTATTTTACACATTTCTCTGTGTTAGCATGTCTTCATATGGTGAATTACCAGAAAAATTCGTATTGAATATGGATGTTGAAGGTATGTACTCTGTATAAAAATATGTTGCAGTTAATTTCTCGTCAAAGTTCCGACTTATATTAGACTTATGTTGAAAATTTCCTTCTTAAAAACGTGGTATTTTTAACAAAAGTTTAAAGAGTCAAACTTTCTGAAACGGGCCACTAAAAATTAAGTAGTAGAATTTCAAATATATTTTGGCAGATATTCAAAGGTCTATATGTGAAAATCAATGTCTTAAAATATTTTTTGAAAATTTCAATTTTTCAAAAATTTATTCATAAATGAATTTTTGACCTTCTCATCAATTTTATATATTAATTGCTATATTTCCGTAAATATTCAATGAAAAATAACCAAATTTTAATGGTGTATTCAGAAAAAGTAGCAGAATCGAAAAAAATATTCATACTGGAAAAATTTAATTTTTTAATAGTATTAAATAATAATAAATTTCCCAATAAACAATTGACAATTTAACAGACTTCTTGTGTTAAACAAAAAAAAATTTACCATTCGTGCAAAAATATTTTAGTGCACTTATTTTTATTTTTATTTTTTTTTATGTATGTCACCGCATAACTTTGCACCACGTCAACCGATTTCGATAATTTGCAACGGAAAGGTAGTGTCTCAGAGGTGGTCCCATACTAATTTGGTTTAGATCCGATCATTGAATGATGAAATATATAGATTATTTATATATTTTTTTAAGTCGGTTTTTTTTTTGCTAAAAATTACTTGTTATAGGAGTGCACTAAAATATTTTTGCACGAATGGTTAGTGTATACCTTAGATCGTAAATTTTTTTTTTGTTTAACGCAAGGAGAAGTCTGTTAAATTGTCAATTGTTTATTGGGAAATTTATTATTATTTAATACTATTAAAAAAATTAAATTTTTCCAGTATGAATATTTTTTTCGATTCTGCTACTTTTTCTGAATACACCATTAAAATTTGGTTATTTTTCATTGAATATTTACGGAAATATAGCAATTAATATATAAAATTGATGAAAAGGTCAAAAATTCATTTATGAATAAATTTTTGAAAAATTGAAATTTTCAAAAAATATTATTAGACATTAATTTTCACATATAGACCTTTGAGTATCTGCCAAAGCATATTTGAAATTCTAATACTTAATTTTTAGTGGCCCGTTTCAGAAATTTTGACTCAAAACAATAGTGTTTTTGTTTATGTGTCGGGCTTTGTCGCCTTACATTTAAAATGTGGTAATAAAGTTTGAACCCTTGCTTATCTGAATGAAAAATAAAATCTCCCCCCCCCCCCCCCCCAACCTTTTTAGTCAAAGGCAAAAAAAAAAAACATTTCCTTGAGGAGCAAGCGGCGGAGAACTGAAGAATTACGGGCCCAGGTACCTGCCGAAGAGTTGATTTTCGCCGCAGGTGTAAGTAGGGACACGATATCGAACCGAAAGTATCGATATGGTACTCATTTAAAGTATCGCTTTAAAAATATCGGGTACCCATTAATATCGGAATAAAAAGACTCGATTCTCCAAATATCGATACCAAAATCCCAAAAAACTTATCTGAATATAGGTGATGGTTAGAAGTGCGCAAAGCTTGAAAATGAAAAGCAACTTCCCAATAGAACAAAATCGCCGTTCAAAATCGACATAAAATTGTAGAGACCCCTTTTGTGCCACAACATTAGGGCGCACGCGACAAATCGGAGGAGAATCTCGGCCAAACACTAACATATTGTGTAAGCGCCGATCTTATATTATTATTACAACACGTAGAGATTGAGGTGTCGACTTAAAACACCGAGGTCGCGGGTTCAAATTTCACTACATCCTAACTATATTACAAATTTCTGCTCTTTAAAGCCCAATTTATATCGGGAAGAATTGTTATTAACATAATCCTTGTAATGTGAGTTTATGACATTTGATACGATACTAGGGTTCTGGTACTCGATTCCAAAAAATATCGTTTTAAAACTATCGAGTAGAAAAAATCGGTATCGAATGCCAAAAGTATCGACATGGTATCGTATCGTATTGA